CATTAGACTTAAGGTACCCATCTGTCGGGCCCATCTCGGAGGCACCTCTCTCCTCTAGGGGTGTCTTGTCGAGTGAAGGGCCTTCCGTACAGTCAACCAGGACATCCGCAGGAAGCAGCATGGCTGGGCCTCTTACTGCGAGGGAAACGCCCTTAGTGAGGTCCCCCACGTGGTTAATATCACAGCAAGCTGAAGGCCCACAGACCATGCTATTACAGCGACGCCGCGGCGGAGTCTCGGAAAGTATTGAGGAGCGCTCCCATGCAGCAGTGGCAGCAGCAGCAGGAAGTGCTCGCGCGTTTTTGAGGGCTGCCGAAGCAACTAGGTACCGAAGCAGCAACAGCCAGGGACGCTTTAGCGACACACTCGATGGACAAATCTCACCCGAGTCTTTAGGCCTTGTCAGCAGCTCAGTGACTCCAAAGACGTACTCCTTCCACTCCTTCAGAACAAACCCATACGCGACTGAGAGCATTTCGAGAGCAGCAGCTCAAACAGCAGCAGGACGACCAGAGGCGACAACTTCACACGAAGAACTGCCTTTTTTGAGCGGGCCTCCCGTCTCTGGCGTCAAAGAGGTCACGGGAGACTTCCGGGCTACCCGAGGACAGCCCTTGCCCCAGATCCCGGAAGTGCAGTCTAGTCGAACTGTCTCGAGCTACCATGAGACTGCCAATATAGAAAATTCTGGTCCCTCTCAATACCCATTGACTCCTATGGATCCCAACAGCTACCATCCTCTTTACCAGAGGTCCCAATTCCAAGAATCCATAGAAGGCGGATCTAGAGGAAAGCATATACCCAGGAGAGGACTTATGCACAGAGGCAGAAACAGCAGCAGCAGCCAAACAATTGTGGGCCGTACTTCGATTGATGAGGGGCTTGCGGTGGGGCGACGCATACGGACCAGCAGTTTGCAAGTTGAAAACAATACGCGGGGGTTTACACCCCGCATCCTACCTATACAGCCGGCGTCTTTCACACCTGAGAAAGCTACGGTAGCCGAGTCAGCAGTTGACATGAGTAGAAAACCAAGTGCTTCTCGCCAGCATCAGCGGCCTCTCAGACGTGACCAGGAAACACAGGCCCTAATGGGTGGGCGGAGTTCCCCCCCATCAGAAGAAGAGAAACTAAAGGGTCGGGAGCTGCAAGAGCGATTTGAGCGCCTAACAGAAATGGAAAAACAGCAACAACAGCAGCAAGAGATGCTGCAAAAACAGCAAGACGAGCTTTCACCCATGAAGGGCGAAGCCCCCAGGGCGTTGAATGGTGACCGAGCCCTGGCAGGCAGCAGAAACAATAGTCCGCAGCGGTGCAAGAAACAGCAGCAGCCTTTGCTACAGCAGCAGTCTTCGATGGGACTGAACACTTCTGAGCAGCTTAGTCGCATGCCTTCTGCATTACTAGGGGCACAGTGCTCGAGCATTTCTCCTTCACAGCTCTCCGCATCTCCACTGGAAGAGCCCCTAGGAAACACTCCTTCTATGCGTAGCAGCCATTCTCTGAGGAGCCTTTATCAGCAGCGGCAGCCACAGTCACAGTTGCATGAGTTGCAGCATCAGCTGGATGTGCAACAGCAGCACAACATTAGAGAACGAGAGAGGCGGGAAGAGGCAGAGCTGGAATCTCTGATGGAACGCGAACGACAGGGTTCTAGGCGTCGTCAGGAGCGGCAGCAGCAGCTGGCGTTCTTGCAGCAGCAACAGCAAATATTCCTTTCCGAGTACCGACGGGACAGACAGCGGAGGCGCTTGAATTCGAGCAATGATAGGGGTCTTGACCGCTCGGAAGGCGTGCCTATCCAGCAGTTGCTAGAGGGTGCAGCGTTACCTGAAAATAAGTCAACAGCAGCAGCACAAAACGAACACCAAGGTAGCCGAGCGCAAGTCCGCATGCAGAGGTCTGAGGAAACCTCAACAGACTCTGCGCGTGAAGGCACCAAGAACCTTCCGAAACACAGCACAGTCAGTTCAGGGATATTTGGAGTTCACACTGAGGACGACTTACGGGATCCAGGTCTGGTGGAAACTGAAGCAAGAGAGAAAGAGTGTACAGAGGCGGCTGCTGCGGTAGCAGGCATAGCACCTGCTAGTGCTGCTCAGTCAACGGCTACTCAGCAGGAAGTAGGCGCAGATTTCCACCGCCAAGTTTTCGGCATGCCGGATGGAATTCCTTTTGGGGCGTCCTCTGGATTTTGTGGGGACAAAGCAAGAAGCGACGTCTCCTCAATTCGCTACGAGGCAACTTCAGTGCAAACAAGGGAGGATGCTTATACAATTCAGAAAGATCTTGCCATCCAGCAGCCGCAGCTTCTTCGGATGGCTGCAGCAAGCACAGCAGCAACAGCGGAAACATTAGAGGAGGCACCCAAAGAAAAAACAGCTGATGTTGCGGTGGAAACCGACTTTTCAGTCGAGACCCCACTATCTGACATATTTGGTCTCGAAAGGGAAAGGATTGATGACGGCGAAAACGAAGAGCCAGCGCAGCATCAATTGCAGCAACCGCAGCAGCGGAGCAACAAGAAAACCTTACCAGTTACTGTTGAAAGATCGCAAGAAGGCTCGGAGATCTTCGCTCTCCCGCTTGAGGCCCAGCGGCAGCAGCAGGAATGGGACGAAGACACATTAGCAGCTGCAGAAGGCCGACAGCAGATAGCAGCGGCGGCAGCAGCAGCCTCTGCTGCCGCGGCTGCAGCTCGCGCAGCAGTGGCAACGGCTACAGCAGCTGAGGCCCAAATAGTAAACACAAAACAGGGCGAGGAAGTCCTTGAAATCGATGTCTTGTCTCCTGAGCTGAATGGACCGATAGAATCACTCGAATATGCAAATGAGGCATCGGATGCTCCACCTTACCGCACCGGCAGCCCTTCGGCCCCTCAAAATCGCAGCAACAGAGCAGCAAGCTGCAGCAGCGGCAGAGTGCGTGCTGGTGTCAGAGAAGAATTGAAGGAGATAAATAAGACGAAATGCAATTTCAACCAAGTGACTGGTGGAGCAGAAGCTGACGAGGAGAGAAAGGATGAAAAAGCGCCTCGCCGCCGTCGCAGGAGCTCAGCTGAGACCGGTTGTAGGGGCCCACACTCAGCAGCTGGTGTGGACTCAGCATATCAACATCCAGGGCAGCAGGAAGCGTATACGGACCTCGGCGAATTCACGCAGAAGGGTGTTGAGGTCCTGAGCACCCACCTGAAGAGGGATCGACATGAGGGACGACACTTTTCTGCTGCCGCGCCGACACTTCCATCAGCCCACGGCATATCCTTTCCGTGGTGTGCAGAAGGCTCTCTAGAGGGGGACGGGCACCGGTATGCCCCTCAATTCGTTGAAAGATATTACATGAAGGAGCGTAGAGGTAGTGATGCAGGGATCGACGGATCATCGGGCGCCGCTCACTGGTCCTCCGCTGGGTCAGGAACCTGGGGGCACTCCAAAGGGTGTCAAACCCGCGGCTCCAGGAGCCTCAGCAGAAGAAGAGGGGCAAGGCTTGATTTTTCAGGGGCCCCCGCAGCGGCCAAGGCTTTTGCTGCCAAGGTGAAGGACAGACTGAAACCCTTCTTATCCAGACAAGAGACCAAGGGATCCCCAGGGGATCCCGTAGACGCATTGGGCGAGAGGCCGCAGCATCTTTATTCTGGTGTGACACATCGGAGGAGCTATGGTGCTACCCCGTCAGAACCTGCTGCTAGCACCTCCGTGGCAGGTGTTGCTGCAGCTTCGGCAACAATGCCGCCGACATCAGATTTTAACCTTTCTGAGCTGCCGATGCTAATGCGAGCGCAGCAGCAAAGAGAAGCCAATCGGAAAAGAGCCCAGCAGAGAAGTGCAGAAAGACACCGCACACCAGACGGAGGAATCTCTCACGACAGAACAAGCAGCAAACCATCACAAGTTGCAACAAGAACACTGCATAATCTGCAATATTGACAACGGCACCAGCTGTGGCACAGAAAGCTGGAATGCTGCATGCGCTGTTTCGGCTTGCGGGCAAGGCCATCCTTTCCTTGCTCGATTCAGCGTACTCCACTGTATTTGCTTTGCGATCAGGTTGTTATTTGTTTCTTTAACGTATGCGCCAAGAGGCTCCAGGAGTCTTGTCCTAAGAAGGGCGAGCAATGTGCAGACACAATGTGACACCTACAGTCAAAACGTGTATACAATGTAACTATAAACGCATTGCACTTAAAAAACATTCATGTTCATCGTTACACCCGCACCACGGATGGGCACGTCGCATTTATGCAAAACGGTGCTTTCGGAGGCACAAACCCTCTCCTAAAAACAATTTTTTAAAGGATAAAAGCGGTGCAACAAACCTAGAGTTTGCCGCTCCGCCTCTAATCAACTGTCTTAGCAAAAAGAGAGCCAAAGAATAGCAGCCGTGCTTGACAGCCGCAAAGACTAGTCTGCTCAACTAGGGGCCCCTAAAATACCGCGACGATCAGACGTGGACGTGCCTCTGGCTAGTGCTGTAGAAGTGTGGTGCTCACAGTACCACAAAGCACGCCATTCCAACCGCATCAACTAGAAGGGACCCCGGCCGCTGTAAAAGTGGCTCCTTAGCTCTATGCAGGCGAGACCTGTCAGCTCTATCGAAGAGAAGCCTTCTCTTATACTGACAAGTACTCAGAACCCAGGCAATGTGTGTCTACAATTCCCTGCAAAAAGTCATGCAAGGCACCACAGAGGGCTCTGCGGGACCAAATGGGCATGCTGTAAAGGCTGCCTCAGAGCTAAAAAATGTTTCGTAGTGCTCTCTGAATTTAGGGCCCTGTGGGCCGTTGCAGTAGCTCCAAAATGTTCGCGCGCCCCAAAAGGGGAGGTAGCAACACAGCACCGTCCATGTTCCGAAAAACATAGCCTGTTGCTCCTTAACTTTGCATCTTGGCTTTCATGCAAGAGCACAGCGCTCTTGGTGGCCTCTACATGCGAAATGAGAATCTACCACAAGCGATTAATCCCTTCTACTTGTTCACACCCCCACTAATTCCTGCCAAGCATTCATTTCTTGAGCCTTTTATTCCTTCGTGGCACTACCTTCGTGATCCTGTTTGCGTTATTCTGTCGTATTTCTCTGCACTTTTTTCTTGTCCATTTAGCTACATTTGGGTCTCTGAGCATCTCCTGAAGCACAGAAGAAGCCCCTCCCCTCCCTCTCGGTCCCTTGTTGGCCGTACCAGCGGCCTGCGATTCGAGGCCTCCCCCGACTCCGCGGAGGCCTCCTCCCACAACACGAGCTACTCCCATGTATGCAGCATGGATAGGAAAGCCACTGCTGTTGCCTTTCTGCTTCACCATGGGCACCACGGGCTCCCTGTTACGGCCACTGAACGTCTTGCTGTTTGCATGCGCCCAGAGCTGCAGAGCTTTCAGCTCCCTCTGCATCTGTGGGGATACTTCCGTTAGGGGCATGTTGAACCACTGCCGCAGTTGCTGCTTTTCTGCAACTCGACGCCTCTCTTTTTCCGCTTTTTGCAGCACAGATATGTCCGTACAGATCAGAGAGGCATCACTCACAGGCCTCTTCTGCTGCATTGCAACCGAAGCCATAGAAAGAGGCAAGCCACCTGCAGCCACTGCTTCCGCTACTTTCCTGTCGTCCCTTTCGCCAGGTACATTCAGTGTGTTGCTGCTGCTGCTCAGCGGTACACATTCCCTAGCAGGTTCAACAGGTTGCAAGCTGACGACTCCAGGTGCTGCTGTTGTATCCAGGAAGACCCTGTCTTCCACTGATGGACCACTTGGCTTGTTGAGTGGCTTAAGTAGGGGTGTGGGGGCTTGCCGACCCAGAGAAAGGTGACTGAAGGCAGGAGGAAGAGAATTTCCTACTGTTTCTGCTGGCTGTGCTAAACTGCCGCTCTTCTGCTCATCTGCGCCCTGAACAGATAAGGGGACTTGAGGAGGGCTGTACGAAGAGGCCTTGGGTAAAGACGTGCTGTGCAAAAGGCTAAGGGATATTCTAGGGGTTGCAAGAGCCACGGGACGAAGCAGCTGCACTTTGTTTTTGCTGCTGATGCTGTTGCTGTCTCCTGTGCTTCTGTTTCTGTCGCTGCTGTTACGATTCCAGTTACCGCTGGGCGCGCTACTGATACTGTTTTCCTTTGAAGAGGCACTGCTTTCTTTGCTGTCATGAGGTAAATCCTTGAAACTTGTTCTGTTTCCCCTCAGTTTGCTGCTGCGGCTGTTACCGGCAACCACTGTAGTTGTGTCGTTGCAGCCAGAGGCAGCATCCTGGATCCCTTTTGCGCCACGCGTTCTTCGGCCGTCACTGACGCTGTTGCTGCTCTCATTGCTGTTACTGCCACCATCACAGCTGCTAGTGATAATGCAGCTGATTTCACTCTCAGCCCCGCCCTCGGTACGAGCTTGACCTTCCGTGGCCTTCCCCGCCGCGGTGTTTCGACCCATCCGCGTCTAATGTATCGGCCCAGATAGTAGCAAAAGTTCCAAGGGAAAATGATGCTTTAGAAAAAATGGGGCAGAAAACGAAAGAATAGGGGTTGCTACGGACCACAGGAGACACGCAAGGACAGCACGGGGCACAAACACCAAAGCGCCTTCGGCAGTTCCTTTAGCATGCGACTCTTGTACTGTCACATATGAAACTCACACGGAATGAAAAAACAAGCGGAAAAGAGGAAAAAACTAAACTGTGTTGAACACTGGGCACCGAGAAGGGCCCCCACATGCGAGCACTAACAAGTATGCCACAGGTAGAATATGGTGCCCTTTGAGCCTGTTTGCGTATATTGTGAAGGCTCAGCTAGAGGAGAATAAAACAGTACACATAACTAGCCATTTTTTGCCTGAGCGAATCAGAGAGTCTACAAAAACGTTTCTTCCTGGAACGTAGGTATTTGAGGCAAGAGGGCGTGTTCAATCCCCAGCCCTGAGCTGCTTTGATCTGCCCTTGCACTCACGTCCCGTTTTATAATTTTCGAATGATTTATGTAATTTCCTGGTAGAAGCACTTCGACTGTGTTCCGCCTGCCATCTCCCATGGAAAAGCTGCGTTACTTTTTGACCAAACCCCAACGGGTAGTCCTGGACTCCACACAGGCTCCCCAAGGGGTTTGAACTGCTCTAGAGATGGAGGATCACCTCGGTGCAAAGCAAAGGCCCTTTGGGCTAACACAACAATTCCTGTTGCCAGTTGTAGTTGATGGACAGGGAAGAGCAGCGGCTGTGAGCAGACACTGCATAGTGGAAGCATCGGGAACAAGAAGGACCGCAAGCCGTGTTTTACTTCTGTCGCGCCTTTTCTTACTTCTGCTTCCGCTGGCACGCACACACTGCTCTCCATTGCTGCATCAACGGGGCGACGTTGTGGCCCTAAGGAAGCCGTACCCTTGCAGAGGTTTGCAAAGCCTTGGATGGCTGAAAAGGGATCTTTTTCCAGGCGCGAGTAAAGCAACTTTTCTAAGCCCGTTGACGGCTAGCATGCCCCCAGAAGTAGGTACTGCTACAACGCCGGCAGCATCGACAAGCGTTTGCCGACTGCCGGCATTATCGGCGGGAGGTGGCATGCGTGCATCTGCTTTGCTGTCTGATGAGGCAGATGAAACAAGAGCCTTTAACCACACTACTGGTCAGCCATTCCACTTGGCTACCCTTCCTTTACACTGCGTTTGCTCCTTTTCTGCTCTTGGCTCCATCCAGTTGTCCTCCTGTGTGATGCTCACCCCACTGACTCCTCAACTCAGTCACCTACACTTGAAGCCATCCACCCAAGCTTCCCACGGGAAATTGGCAGCTATGTTGCCGCTTACATTATTTTCCATAGCTGTAGTTAACATTTCGTCTTTCGTCGTTGTTGCGTGCACGCCTGCTGCTGCAATGTCCACTCCTCCAGGTGCATCGCCACGGCGCTGCCATCGAATATGTCTTCTGGGTCGGCCTAACGTGGGGAAAAGCGCCCTGTTTAATCGCATTTGTTTTGGGGACCTTACAGGAGGCTTTCGGGGGGGTGCCCTAGTAAGCTCAGCCGCTGGCACGACCCGAGATTGTCTGTTGTCTTTGATTGAGTGGAGAGGAACGGAATTTGAGGTGGCAGATACGGGAGGAATTGTGATGGAAGATGCATCATTGGGGCCGTTTGCTGCCGAGGTAAGGTTACCTGGGCTGACAATGCTTCACTTATATTCGCGCGTATGGATGCAGTATGAGTTTGGACTTTGTCCCCGTACATTTTTGCACTTATTGTGTGCACGTGTTGTGTATTTCGTGTCTGTTTGCTTCGTCTTTATCTTTATTGGTCCGCAGCTCAGGGATCAAGTCTCCTTCGCCATACAGCAAGCGACCTGCGTAATTCTAGTGGTGGACGGAAGGGTAGGACACTCACCGCTTCTGTGAAGCAAATGGGAGGAAAACACGACTCACGACATTAATTTGTGAATTTTGTGACGAAGAAGAGACTAAACTTATTTACAGCTGTGTACACGCAAAGGCATGGAAATTCATAAAAGTGTATGCAAATGCACGGGCAAGCAAGCATCTGCCACAAAGGCAGCAGAAACCACTTTGGAAAGTCACCTGCTGCTGTTATTACTTGCTGTTGTCACACATAGTGTACAGCAGCGGAAAGGAGATACAGCCGCACAGAGTTCCACATTTCTTGCAGGCCGGAGTGCAGGAAGACGATGAGTATTTGGCGGAATTGTCAAGACACCTGAAGGCGCCCGTTGTCCTCTGTGTAAACAAATGCGAGAACCCCAAGACCGCTGTAGCCGAGGCGCAGGTAGGCTTGCTTCAAAGGGCGTCGAAGAGGCACGGGCGTTTGCTTCTTCAGTAACGAACGCATAGGACAGAGGGCGTTGAGAAAGATAAGGAAGCTATGAATAACTGGACAAAGGGCAGCCGCCTTTTGCTTCAATGAGCATCAAGGCGCTCCCGACGACGGCTGCTCTCCGCAACGTTGGCGCCTGCAATCGTACTTTTGTCTTTTCTTGCTGCACTATCTCTCTTCGCTGTCCACGTAGTTAAGGTGTACTCGTGGGGCTCTGTGCACCTTCCGTCTTTTGCAGGCCTTCTGGAGACTTGGCCTGGGGGTGCCAATGCCATGCAGCGCAGCAACTGGCTCCGGTGTGAGTGAGCTTCTAGACAGGTACGGTATTTCCAGGTTCTGTTTGGGTTTTTCGGATGTGCTGTTGACGTTCCTGTTTTTATGCCGTCTGGGATGGGATTACTGTTACTGTTTCTGACGCGGCCTGCGCTTGTGTCTTTGATGGCGAGACAGTCTCAGGTGTAGTTTGCCTTTTCAAGTGTAGCCAGAGGCTTAAATCGAGTCTGGGCTAGCACTTTGAGTTCAGGTGCGTGGAGGCGGTGAAATGCCATGAGAACGCTCCCAGCCGCACATCTCTTCGCCCAAGTGAAGGCAGCCTCCAGGATGGCTTGAGAGACCATGTACGAGTCGCCCTTATCGGGAGGTACAGTTAGATTGTCTTTTTTGCCTTCGGACGAGCACGCAATCTAGCAGTAGAAGTTGCTGGTGTCTACTGCAAGCACACCTCCAGAACGAATTCCTGAAACTTACGGTCGTAGGACTGGCGACTAAGAATTTAGAGTTTAAGCATTTGGACGAATGTAGGCCTAATGCGGGCAAGTCCCGTCTGCTAAATCGCCTCGTCAATTATCAGCGCAGTATTGTGAGCCCTATCCCTGGCACCACTCGCGACGCGGTTGACGAATTTGTCTCTCGTGGTAAGGCTGAAAGTCTCACCGTGTGTGTAGGACGCTCAGACAGGAGAGGCATCTGCGTCACTAGCATTGGCTGGCTGCGGTGGCACAGCTGTTGGAAGGCTTACACGCGCTCAAGTTTTTGAGCCCAAAGACTGACTGGAGGGCTACTGTGCATGCGCATCGTTTGCTGTCTGAAGGGAACCGACTTTACTGCGTGGTAGACACTGCCGGTATCCGGCGGGCGAGCGGGATCCGGAAAACTGTGAATATTGATGCACATATGGTTGCCCGCGCAAAAACTGTGAGTTTTTGGCAGCCTCTTTTCTATCTGCATGTTGGAAGCCCTGTGGGTGATTTTCTAGGTGGCTAGGTAGCTGCGGGGGCAGCAGCCCTATCACCTTTTGTTGTTACTGCGATGGGCCGTGTAGCTGCTACTTTTGCTTTTGTTGCTGCACTTGTTTCTGCTCTGCCGAAGCATATGATTGTGCTCCATGTTTAGGCGGCCCAGCGGGCGGATGTCTGCTTGTTGGTTGTGGACGCTCTGGCGGGGTTGACACACCAAGACGTAAATCTTGCAAAAATGTTGGAAGCCTTTGGTCGTGGTGTTGTTGTAGTTCTCAATAAGTGGGATGTTGCACTTCAGACAAATGACTTTAAACACAATGAGGTACGGTGGGGTGATGCCACCTTAACTATCTGGCAAGGGCCCTTCCGACGGCTCTGTTCCATAGCTTCACCCTGGCTTGTTCGTGTCCTACGTCCTCCCATCCATGCTTGCTGTTGTTAGTGTCATCACCAGTGTCTTCCCCTCCACTAGTACTTTATCAGTGTTCATACAGTTTCGTTGGCCGTGACTTTGGGGCTCTGCTTGCTTGGGGGCTTTCCCACAGGCTGTCGAATATGTGCGCAAGGTGCTCTTCCCCCTCTACTGGTCAGAGGTCTTATTCGTTTCAGCGGAGACAGGGGAAGGCGTCGCCAAGATTTGGACGGCCGTTGATGCTGCAGTGAATCAGGTGCCCGCCTTTAGTTTTTAAGGCTTAATTTCGCCGTTCGCGGCTTAAGGCTAGAGGTGGATGCATTAGAATTCGGTTCTCAGGGTTGACTTATTCAGATAGGCATGGTGGAAACCGCAGTCACTGGACGTACAGACTGGCCTGAACTGTCAAGCCAGGCAGCCTCTATAGACACTTGGCTGGACATGCTTTTTTCAAGTTTCACCTGTTAGTAGATGCACGTTTCAGTTGGCAGTAGTCAGCTGGAAAAGGACTTTGCAGCTTCGTCCACACCAGTGCCTACAGAAACAGCAACGCCGCTATTGCCGACACTACTCTTGAAGATGCTGCTCTCTGGCTTTTACTCTTCATTCTCTGCAGCACCGTAGGCGACTAACGACTGCACTATTGAATTTTGTGGTGCGGGACGCCGTGGGTTTATTTCCGCCACCCGTGACGAGAGATGGCAAGCGAGGGAAGATATATTTAGCGCAGCAGGTAACTGCACACAACCTGTCTTGGGGTGATCAATGAGCATGCGTCGATGCATTTGAAAAATGCCTTTAATAACTGTATAAGCCAAAAGTACCAATGCTTCTAGAATGAGTCGAGCTACCTGCATATGCATACGCCCCTCTCTAGGCTCCTATCCCAACTACAGGACACACGAGCTCTTTTTTCTTCGAAGTGTAAAGCTTTATCATGATTTATGCCGTATCCTTCGCGCATATGGAGTGCATGTGTGCTGCCATCAGTGCCCCTTTTGCCTCTGATTTTGATTTCGTCATTGCTGCGTCAAAGGGGTCTGCGTTAGGTGAATTGCCAGCCGCCTACAATTGTGGTATTCTGCAATAAATCGGAGTTCTTCAGTGAAGCTTACAAACGGTATATTGATTATTCTGTGAGAGGCGCGTTTTCTATGCACTCAACTCCAATCCGGTGAGCGCGCCTTTCGAGGGTCGCCCCGGTTTCCCGCGTGCCGGAAGCTCACAGTACTTTTTTAGGTGTTCGTGCAAGCTGATCCAATGGTTGATCTGCTGTCACTGCCGCGTGCTTCAGGTGGATATTCCGGGATAAGCGGCTTCGCAGCATGCAGCAACTCATCAGACAAAGGAAGCGAGGCCCCTAACAGGCGGGACACAAATAGCAGGTGCCGGTTTCTCAAAGGCATCGCAGCTCAGAACGGTTGCCAGCAGTTAGGCTGTCCCGCAGCCGTTAGGACCCACCATGAGAAGGCGGCATGGCAGCATCATTATTCCCTGTATTGTCTAAGAAGGGAGTTTTCATGGGTGTTGTGCGTTTTCAGCTCTCTTTTTGCGGAGTGCTGAATGGACTTTTGTTTTTCTCCGTTTCTTTCCAGCCTTCTTCGCGTGGCTCGTGGGGTCCCTTGCGCCATCCATGCATGGGTAGACGGAGCGCAAGCGTACACACGTACATACATGAATTGCGGGACGTATTGTAGTAGTGTGAGTATCGGATGGACTAGCTTTTGTGGATGTCCCTGTTAGCAAATTACTGGGTCTATGTGTGAATGAGGCACCGAAGTCAGTGTCTCGTACATGAAGGCGCCCAGGTCTATACGGAGAATCGTCACGGGTGTTGCTTTTAAGTCTCACTTTGCGGATTCGTTGCCGCACGGACTTTTTTTTCCCTCCTCTCCTTTTGTGTACTAGTCATGGCACCTTGATTATGCACTCAACAAGCGTATTGTTCTCCCCATATACCTGAAACTTGGTGAGCTCAAGGCAGCCCTTTTCTGCTGAGGCTTTGAATCTGCTGGTGGAGTGCGGGTGGCTGAAACCCTACAGGTCATAAAGCGATAGAGGGTGTGGTAGTGCCGTGTTGCGTGATGTCCCGGCATCGGGTTAAGTCTAAATATTACACACTGTTTGCGCTGCAAGAGCTCTGAAGCCGTCGCCGCACGGTAGCCTAAACAGTTCCGCTCAGCGTGTTGAGCTCAGTCTGAGTAGTGATCAGACCAATAGCTGATCGACATAATAAATAGTAACCTCACTAGCAGGAACCAAGCGTCCGATACTGTCAGAGTACTGTTCGAGACGACTGGCTGTATCTTCCTATTGAGGCGTAGCGTAGCTGGGCGCGTTTTTTCCGTGATTGCTGCTACTGCGCAAGCCATCGGCAATTGCAGTGCTCCCTTCCCGCAAAATTAATCTTGCTAATTGGTGTTCTTGACGAATCCTCCACCAAAAGTTTGGCGACGAGAAGGCCGACTTTATCCATACTTTCGAATCATAGCTTTCTCAACTCCCTCAGATGCTCCTCATTTACGTTTCCGGAAAGTCTCACACTGTGCTTCTCAAAGTTGGCCCTGTAACTACTGTAGGTCTCCACTGTGGAGGAGCGCTACAGTGCAGGAGCATACATGTGCTCTGCGCTGTCATGCACATGTGCAGTATGTACAAGAACCAAAAATAAAACAAGCAGACACATCTTCTCCGTGGCTCCCCTCCTCTAAAGTTGTTGGGCTGGCTTCGAAGGCCCCCTCACGGGGCCCCCCACAGAGGGCCTCCAATGACGCGCTGCGAAGTTGTGCAGCCATGTCTAATAGTGTTTGGCTCCAAACTCTGCAAGCATCAAAGGTTTACTAGATTAAGGGACCCCAAGGAGGTATTTGCTTCACTGGTACACTATATCACCGTTGTCAAATGATACACTGGGCAAACTTGTGTTGTCCAGAGGGTTTCTCGGGAGTTTCGTTTTCTTTTCAGTTGCTAAACCCCTAAATTTTACTTCAGGATCTCTACAAAAGGGTTGGAAGAGGCACGAATCTTGTTCCCGTAGTCCACGCGCTTTCTCACACTCGACGTACTTGCCGCGCTCTCACGACTTGATTGCTCAGTCCTACATCCTGAACAGCCCTTTGCATTGTGACTTTAGGGGGTCTGATAGAATGGACGTGGGGCAGCGCTGATGCTTTGGGGTTTACTGCTTGGGTTTTGGACTCCGGCCCATCTTTGGAGGGCTTCAACTCCAAAAACCTCCCCATTTTATGTACTCTTACAAGGAGAGGGGTGCCTCCTACTAGCAGCAGCAAGTACTGATGCAGCAGTAGAGGGACTCGTTGCTACAACCACGGACGGAAAATGAAGGAAACCCCAGCTTTTTCCCGTGCACCGCCTCCTGCACGTGTTGCTACATCTTACACAGGTGTTGCTACAGCCCCAGACAGGGCTGCACTACCGACAGATCCGTTTGTTTCTCTTCTTCGGTCGGTGGATCGCTGCTTGAAGGGGTTAGAGTCGTCCTGCGCCTGCTGCAATGGAAGCCCCCAGCAGCAGCAGCAGCTGCTGATAGCATCAGAACGAAGATACATATCGGGTTGCTGTTGCCGCAATGACCAGCAGCAGATGTTGCGCCAGGAGATGCAAAGCACACTATCGCTGTTCAAGATGATGCTGCAGGTTGATGCCTTGGGGTACAAGCTGCAACACCAGATTATGCAGGTGCTCCCCTCAGCAGATGCAGAAGTAGCAACAGATGCCAGCGCTATTCGTAGTCTGCGGGAGGACCTGACCGACAAATCTATCATTTCTGAAGGCCAAGTAAGGCGTTGAAGCAAACCCTTATGCAGGATCAACAGCAGAAACAGAAACAGCAGCAACGGGGCAGTCCGGAGGAGTATCTGTGCAATGCGCTACTGTCAAATGCCTCTCAGGCGTTTTTGTTAATGTTTTCTAAGTACCGTTCTCTGAGATGTCTCCTAGCGGTTCGGTTGTGGCTACAACAACAGGAACAGCAGCAGGATACAGCAGCTGCTCTTGGCCGCGGGGACTTTTCTCTCAGTGCTGCAGATTTTCAGCAGCGTCTCTGTGCGTCAGCTCCACCTTTCCGCAGTAGTTAGTTCTTTAACAATGAACACGCGTCCGTAGCTGTTGTTGTGGGCGCTGCTAGCTAGTAGTGCACTTGTCTTTGTCCTGTGCTGCAGCTATCTCCGGGCGGCCCACAGCACAAAAGGCGTTTTATCACATGGACTGGCCCTACGCGCTTCCCACACAAGACCCACAGCAGATTCAGCGTCAATTAGTATTATCGGGAGGATCAGTTGCTTCAAAAGGCAAAAATGCTCATGCTTCTGCTGCTGTAGCGTGCCCCTCCGTTGATGCTGCTGACAGGAGGGCAACGAGCTGTCTCTACATGTCCATCTGGAGACGGCTTCGAGCGGGCCAAATAAAAACAGCAGAGGCGCTGGCAGCAGCCAAAGGGGCGTCGTGGCTTGTGCACGTCTTAAGGGGTGTGCTCGTGTTTTTGTGCTTTTTGTTGCGGCTGTCTTCAGCTACTCTGGTTCGTGTTGCCGTTCCTGGCCCGCAGCGGCTGTTTTCCTGTATTGTAACGCGCACTGTGGGTTTTTGTGACCGTGTTGTCGCTGGTTCAGGCGGAGAGGCGTGGCTAGAGACGCATGGCACTGAGGACTTCTGTCTGCCTGGCGCTGGCGGCCTTTTCAGCCCTGAGGAAATCGAGTTCCTATCCAATGCATCGTGGATACTACGAGTCTGTTACTGTGGTTGCTGCGGTTTTCGTGAATCATGTTGCTCGCTTCGGTGTTGCTGTTGCTTTGAAATGCTTTCTGTTGGCTTTGCAGTCTCGCTGTAACCCTTGTTCTCTGTTGCTTTGCCCACCAGTGCTTTTAGTCTTCTCTCACTGGCCTCGTATGGCTGCCGCCGCTGCGATTGCTGCTGGTTGGATGTCTTCTTTGCCAAGCTACTGCTGTTTTTTCTGCTGCTTCAGAGTGCATTGTGGCCATGTGGACGTACGGTGAAGGATCTACTGGAGGAGAGCAGCAGCTGCTGCAGAAAACGGTCTGCTTTAGATGAATATCTTGAGACTGCTTTGGGTACTGAAGCTCAGGATACAACGGTTACTAACGTCAGCAGCAGCAGCACAGCCTTGTTCACTGGAGCTGACGCATCTGACCTTGGAAGACAAGGAGAGGGAAAGACTCAGCGCGGGCTGCTAGAGTATGCATGCAGCCTTATCCTCCACAGCAGCACCGAGAATCTGGGTAGCAGTAGCTGCTGGCCAAACACATCTGAAGGCGACATGAGTAGACGCAGCACCAACAGCACCAACGGCCAATTTGGCCTATGCGGAAGTCATTACTGTATGAGTCAGGAAGAAGCTGGAGTATATGGATTTATCTTGGGGGACCTGGAGGCCCTTTTGGCTCTTGCAGAGAATTGGGGAGATGCAATATTTGCTGTTTGTCACGCTATGCATGTAAGGGCTGCGCTTGTTGCTATTACTGTTCGCACTTCTGCTTCTCGTCATGGCGTTGCTTATAGTACAGCATTCACTTGGATGCGCTCTGGTTGTGTTGCTGTGGATCCGCAGGAAGAACTAGCAGGAACTCTGGTGCAGATGCTGAGGCAACAACAGCCCCACGGCCTCTACCGTGGAGAAGTTGCTGCTGTTTCAGCAGCAGCCGCTGCAGGAGCTGCTGCTGCAGCTGGATCACTCTACAAGGCTCATTCGCTTTTCTCGCACACAAAGCGCTGCGATATGTTGCAGCCGAAGCAACAGGACCAGTGCCCACGAGCGCTGCAGCAACAGCTCGGCAGCCGTTGGATAGGAAGCTGTGACATTTTGCAGCTACTTCCTCGTTTTTCTGCTGCAGTTACCGCAGCAAGAGGCGACCAGGCTGACGCTCTTTTGTACGGCGTCAAGAACGCGATGCCGCCTGCAACACCGGCAGCTGAGGCAGCAACCTCAACGGCAACTGCACTTCCAGAGGCTGCAGCTTTAGATAGAACTGTCGCAGCGCTCGTATCTCGCATCCTGCAGGTGAGCTATTACGCTGCTCTTCTGCAGCATTTCGTGTGACAGTAGCAACTGTCGCTTACTTTGTTTATCTTCCCCCTGTTATGTTTGTTTGTCAGCCCAAACAGCCACAACTCCGGTTAAGCAGAAACAACTAGTTCTGATTGTGCGTTGTTGTTTGGTCCAGAATTTGTCACTACTCTCTGACTCGCTGTGCAACAGCAAAAGCGGCAAGCTGCGCATCGCAGCAGAACAGCGGGATTCCTTCCGACAGCTACAGATACAACTAATATCTGCGTACATGGAAATGCCAATTGCGGTTCTTGAGGGTCGTCAGACTACAGCAACTAACACTGCTTCAACAGGAGAGGCAGATGCGGCAAATACGACAATTAATGCACATGAAGAAGGATCACACACGCTGGAGCTGCTGCAGCAGCTCCAGCAGCTTGCCAGCAACGGCGCAACAGTCTGCTGCTCTAAACCTAGCGACGGCAACTTTGTATTGAAGTGAGCCAACAGCTCAGAAGTCGCCATCCAAGTTTACTCTGCT